GTACACGCTCGCTGCACGCACAAAGCCTCCAGAGAACAAGCCGGGGTGTCGCGACGCGTGAACTTGCACCCAGCGGCGCCTCGACCCACCCTTTAGCGAGTATATGTAGCGTCTAGCGAGCGTGAGGAGAAAGAAAACCCCTCCTCGCACGAAGGGAGGCTCCGTGCGAGGAGAAACGGAAGAAGCCACGGGAACGTAACGGACGAAGCGAGTCGCGGGATTTTAGGAAGTGATATCTCCCATATAAAACGACTGCTCGACGTCGGCTCTTGCCGAGCGACTCTATGAGCGCGACTTTTCGTCACCCAAACGCGCCCGGAAATTAACTAACGCGGTATGCTCTCGCCTTCTTTCTGCGTTAACTCCCTTTCGCCTCCTCGGTACCGCTGTTGCTACAGCCAACATATCTTCATAACTAGACTATAGATCTCGGAGGAGACTTACCCTGACCAGGTGCCGGTGACGTGGCGTGGCTCCAGCCTCCCTTATAAGAGCTGCCGGCATCTGAAAGGAAAAGAATCCATCTTCAGTCGATTTTTCAGCGGCGACGTGCGTTTCCTTAAAAAAGGAAAATAAAGGAAGGAGAAGGAAAACAAACGTAGCCGTGACGCGCGTTGTAAATCTACGGTTTATCGATCCTCGTGAACTGGTACTTCGTGATCCGGCCGCGGCTTATACCGATTGCGATTACACATTTTGAGGTCACGTCGGCAACGGGGCGTATATTGTCCGCAATTACCGGTTAATCGGTTCGAGGAATCGCGAGTAGCTATAAAGTATATCTGATCGCACGGGGGCGAAAGCGCCTCCGTGCTGGTGGCCATCGCGTCGTCGTAGCGGCCGAACGACGCTGGTAAAACGCGGTTCTTCTGCTTCGCGAGATCTTTACAGCTCACTTTAACGGCTCGCCGTTCCTGCCTTCACGAGAAATGCGGAAAACGTGCACACGTCGCGAGTACGTTTATCGTCCTCGAGATCTGTTCCGATGAGATATCTATAGTCGGTAGGTTCGAGGCCATAGTTTCGCTCCTTATACAAAATTGCAAACGTCTCGGTCGCTGCACCGTAACTCTGATCATAACTTCTTGAATTTTTCACCGTAAAACGTCACGTGTAGGTGTGTTTGCGTTGGTAAAAGAATAAAATGACGAGAAGATATGCGTGTAGACTTCGTACCGTGATTCCGACATGATTTTAAAGATCGCACTGCCTCGCCAATCCGTGACCCGCTTTACTTTTTGCTACCTGCTAGATGATTGTTATACTGCTGATTATACAAATGTAGCGATTCAATTTTCACTGATATAGTTAGTACAAAAATCACCTGGCAGATCGCGAAAACTAATGTGTCAGGCTACGGATTGACTATGTCTGTCCTAACCTCGATCTTTTCATCTTCTTAAGTGGCCTTCCGAGTGGCAATCAGGCTTATTCCAAGAAGTGCTCATTTCTTGGAGAATTTTGTTAAAAAATTATTAAAAATAAAATGCTTGGCAGTTTGTTTTCCACAAAAAAAGCTATGTAGTCTTCGACTAAAAGAGTAAAGAAAGTTCCAATAACTTTTGGCCATTTTTCGAGCACCTCTCAAGGGGAGAAAATCGAGGAAGACACTAATGATCCTAATTGCCACCTTTCAGGTAACGAAAATACGTTGTCACTCGGAAGGCTAACGTTGGCCTATCTTGTGTCTCATTGACCAAAATCTGGTCCTTTGTAGACAAGTATACCCGCGAATGTACTCGATGGATTGCTGAGTCTCCGATCATCTCTGAGTCGACCACTGATCGCGGATATCACACGAGACGGACGTTTTGACAGCGTCAAAAATTATTAGAATTATTTGCAACGAAATATGGAAATCTCGCGACGGCAAAGTTATTATTCGCCATGGACGAAGAACACGAGTTCTTCCTTCTTGGAGACCCGCGGCGTCGGGCGAAGCTACGATCGCACGGGCGTCCGTCGGCAGCGGTGGCGTGTTTGCGAACAGATATATTTTCATTTGGCAGTTATTGGCACGAGGGTCGACCCTCGTGTGTACATACGTACGTCGCGTCGCATCGCGCGGCAGAAACTCCGACTTTCCGGGCAAACAACGGCCTCACGGCGAGCGCACGACTACCGTGCCTCACGATCTTTCGTCTTTACTGCCCCCTTCATTTGATCTGGAGACCGGAGTCCATTAATGGAGCCTCGGATTTCACGTTTCTCAAGTGCCGGAGGGTGGGCGCGCCGACGAAAGCTCGCACGCGTCTAATACGCGCCAGATTTTCCAGCGATTTTTCCAGCGAAACGCCTCGAACTCCACCGTGGAAAATCCTCGCGGCAAGTTCCCCAGAAGAAAAATAGCCTCAGTCAGAACAGCCTCGAAGAACAGCGCTCCTTCTGGCTGGCAAGAGTTGCCGACGGACTGCCGACCGTTCAGCAGTGATCAACGCTTACGTACGATCAACATCTTGGCGGTGCAGTTGCGATTGTGTGACGTCACGAGAGGCAAATTGAAATATCTACCGTTGACCGATACACGCTGTAATAGTATTAACAAATAGCGGAGCGTGCCGCGAGTGTCCAGCAGCTTTCAATTGCTTCGGACTATTATATGATGTCACATCTGAATAGTCAAGATACTTATTTGCGAAGAATGTGTTGGTGACATTCATCGTATGTGTACGGGAGTGAGTACATTCTCGCTTCGTTCATAATCCGCGGCTTTTACCTGGTATCTCCGTGAGGAGCATGAATCGCGATGAAGCGAAAGAAATGGAGGTAAGGAAGAAGCTCAAGTCCGAATATCCGAGACGAGGTTTACGCAAATCGTTACGGCAGATACGCCGTACGCGGATGTATACGCCGGAAAACTGATCTTACGAGGTCCCAACGCGCAAACACACCTCCGCTGATGGCTCTCTCGGGACAAATAGCCGACGTTTGCCTTTCCCTACCACATCTACGAGGCACGTGGTCACTAGCGATCACTTGTGTCGCGACTTCGCGCATTGCTATCGACATTTGCTGCGTGTATCGTGCGTGAAGCTTTTAGCAGCTGCGTTCGTCGTGGATTAACGCGCGTCGATCATCACGAAAAATGCGCGGAAAACCGCGCGCTTTAACCAACGGTTTAATTCCGCGCTCAACGACTGATCTATCAGACTCGCGTTTGTCTGCAAGAGTTCAACCAGTACTGTGCTTCTTTCTAGGTCAGTTATGATCAGATAGGTCTCTTCTAGACCTAATTAGAACATACAAGAGGCTTGAAGCACGAAAAACAGACGCAAGCCTGATGAATTCAGAAGATGGACGTGGAGAACACATAGTTGACCGTACAGCGAGCACGCTCCTCGTGTCGCGGACAGGTGAGAGGCACGTGTGACAATCAATGAACGCAGAAAGAACGCGTGGAACGAGAGCAACGTATCGTCACGCACTGGCACTCTTTCAGTGCAGCCGAGAGCCGCGCACAGACCCGGTAAGAGGATCGGTAAGAAGCACAGACAACTACGTTCCGCGGCGAACGTACCGGCGAACAGCATCGATAGATTGGTGAACGCCGTGGTGCGTGGTAGCTCCGCTGCGGTGGTACCGCTGCTCTTGAGGTCCAGCATCGCGCGGTGCGGTTCACGAACACCGCGCCGCGACGGCCGACTCTCGTCGCTTCTGGCTTCACCTACGCGCGTGGTCTTTCGCGGCTAGGCAGCCAGCCGCCCCTTCTTATCGCGGCACTGTCGACGGCTTTCGAATCAGCTGTTGTTGCTGCTGCTGCGACGGCACGAGGCGCGACAACGGCGTGATGACAGACGTGGTCATATCAGCAAACAACGTAGCAAACAACGCCTCAGCCCTGGCGAACGGCTGCGAGGGGGAGGAGAAGGAGTAGAAAGAAGTGGAGAACGGCGCGCGACACCACCGTCCCGCCGATGATGATGATGACGATGGTAGCGATGGTGATGGGGGTAATGTTGACAATCGCTGTCGTTGCCGTCGTTTTCGTCGTTATCGTCGTCGTCGTCGTCGTTCCTGGCGTATGCACAAGCTTATTGTACGTGGACTGCGCGCCGATAAGGGCGCCGATCATCTTGCCGATCCGTTCCGAGCGACACTGCCGGCTCCTCGCGCGCGACGAGAGACGGACGTCGCGGCGACGTCCACCGGGGGTAGACGGACGCGCGCGCGAGCGAGAGGGTAGCGGGCGAGGTTCCCGCCCACGAAGGGCGCAGAGGTCGGACGCGGGGGTTGGCTCCGTGTCGAAGCTCGAGGGCCGGGCTTGCGGAGGGTAGATCGACACCCCCGCGAACGAAAGGGCGGAAGCGCGCCTGCGTATGTCCGCGGCTGTATGGCGGGAGCAGCGACGGCGGCGGTAGCCGCTGCGGTACCCCGCCGCCGCCGGCTAGACTTCCGGGGGTGGCGGCGGGGGTTGCGATCGGACAAGTCGCCGGGCAGCAGACCGACCGGGAGTGCGCGGGCACAGACGACGTACCGGACCTCCTGCACTTACCGACCGGCGCTTGTCGACGACGTAGTAGTTTGCCCCGGTAACGATGTGCCACCGGTTCCCTTCCGGGACAAACCCTCTGCGGTAACGCGTCACGCGCGCTCTCGCGAGGACCGTTCTCTCCCTCACCCTCACCCCCTCTCGCACTCTCTCGCACTCTCTCCCTCCCTCCCTCCCTCCCTCTCTCTCTCTCTCTCTCTCTCTCTCTCTCTCTCTCTCTCTCTCTCTCTCTCTCTCTGTTTCTCACGCCGCACCAGGACAAAGTCAGCCCCGGTGCCATCGACGGGGAGACGCTCGCGTTGACACGGAGGTCGCCCAATTTGTTACTTTCAATCAAGATGAGCGCATTTTTAATCCGACAAGACACACGTTACGCGAACGTACACGGCACGGTTGCGTACAACATTTATATTACAACATTCGGGCAGGGACGTCGACGGCGCATCTCCTCAAACACGAATGCATCGCGTGAGAATGCGTTTATTTACACACAACTGTGCAAATTCGTTGCCGCGCCGCGAGGTGCAGCGCGACGTAACAAAATTGCGACACCGACGTGTGTTTGAGTCGTCATTTTCGCGGCCGTTCTCCGCGAGCGCAGTTTTGCGGGATTATATTTTGGCGAACTGTGTCGTCGAATAAATCGATGAACGCAGCTGCCGCCTGTCAATGCCCGCTATTCAACGGCACCGCGAATTTCATTGCCAAATTATAATAATTACGCGGGCGAACATCGGCCATTTCGAGTTATACGGAACCGCCGCGATAATCTCGTTATTATTAACGGAATTTACATCTCGTTGCAATTATGCCTCTTGCGCGCCGCTGCGGATAGCGCGCCGGCGTTGCGCGGTATTTGCATAAAATCTGCTTTATTCCGCGAAAACATGAGGCTGTCTTAATTAATTAGCTATTTATCATCGTTATTACGCCGATGACGAAGAAACTTTGCAGCGCCGTATGCAAACGCATGTGCGAACCGCTCTGCTCTCTGCTGTCCGCGTCCGGCGTATAA